TCGGATTTTTTATAAATGGTTTTTCGGTTAAATTTTTAATCACTATTATATAAAATAATTATTAATTTCTAATATTTATTCCCTTAACTATCATGTAATCAAATCTATGCTATTAATTGTATGTATAAATGAAAAATATTTTTTTGCTTAAATTAGCTCTAAGAATAAATTTAATTATTTAATATTTATAGAAAGTATTATGGGGAGATATAAATATTTAAAATTAGTATAACATTACCTCCCTTACCTCCTTATCTATTAGACTTAATTGGTTTATATATTTATATACTCTTTATAAATCAATATTTAATTTTTGAGAATTGGAGCAAAATTAATGTTTATTATTATTATTCATACATATATTTGGTAATTATGTTTTCGTTTATAGATACAAATCATTTTCATTCAAATGAATTAATGAATTTCTTTAAAAATGTTTTTTATTAATTTGGAAATTAGTTTTGAAGTTTAATTTCCGATTAGATTCAAAAGAAAATTACTATTAATTATAGCATGAAATATAAGAAAGCAAACTTTTTATGTACTATTCGTGTGTGAATTCAAGTCCCAAATCATATACTTATAATAAAAACCAAATCTAAAAAAAGCCATCATAAATTTATCTTTCAATTATTATTAAAGCAAACTTTTTGTCAAAATACTTGATGAGAAACTTTTATCAAAGGTGAAATTTTAGTGTTTGTGAAGTAAGTTAACAATATGTTTAATATTTTATATACCGATTCTCATGTATGCCTTCCCCTACACCGATAGCCTATACCTCATGTTTGTTAACCTATTTTATTTGATACACTATTTTCTCGCTTTAATTATTTCTCCACAACTAATAAAATTTTTGATTTATATCTTATTGTAAAAAATGATCTGAATTTTTAGCATTTTATTTTATTCCTCAATTTTTTGCCGGTTTAGGAATTTTTTATTTCGATATAAAATATACAGTAATTTTGTGATTAATAGGGGTTTAAAATTAATTTAAAAAGTGAATAAAGGGGCATGTTTGCAAACATTACTCAAAAATTATTTTTATTAAGCAAAAAGTTGTTTCACTGTAAAAACGCCAAATTTTTTACGATTAATTAAAATATATTTAAATTATTTTATGGAAAAATGTTTATTCAGTCACTCATCGTAAGTCGTTTTCCATAATAAAGGGGTCAACAAATAAATTAATGTTTGATTTATAATGTATTCTTAATTACAGTAAAAATTACAGAATTATACATTTAATCACATTAAATGTGAGAAAACACCATTTAATGTATAATTGTTTTGTCTTACTCAAACAAATTCAATGTTTTTAATCTGTATTAATATGTGTGTCCGTAATATGTATGATTGTGTAGCGAAAAATGTTTTCCATATCAATGACAAAGACATTTGTCACTGAATTGCTGAGGAATTCATATAATTATATTGTCTGCGAAAATGAACTCCAATTAAGTAAAAGTCAAAACTCTCTGAAAGTCCCTGCAATTCGTGACTAAAGCTATGATTTGGAAAGATTTTTTTCTCGTAAAAAGTGGAACTCTTTTGGCTTTTTGAATGACATTAGAGAATGAGTTATAATTTGGTTTACTTTCCAACCGAACGAATGAGAGCTTAAATTACTGGTTATGAAGAGTTATAATAATAGTAATAAATATATAGAAAATATGTTTGAAATGAAATCTGAATTTCCATTTTGTGTGTATCGGCGGAGACGACGAGTTTTTCCTAAAATAAAAGCCACTTCTTTGGGGTCATAACCCAGATATGAGACGCTTAAGAGTCGATACATAGGAGGCATATAAAGTGTATTTTTTTGGCGAAAATTTGTGTTGCCGATTTATATCTATAAAAATTCAATAAATAAATGTTTCACTCAATTGTTTATTGTTTAAAATCTTAACACAATATATATTATCTGCACATTTCTTATCAGTAAAAGTGAGAGAGGTTTGAGGCTTTGCGAGTAAAAGTGTTGAGATTTATTAGAAATGAAATATTAATCACAAATGAAATTCTTAACCTTTATTCTGATTGTTCTTTTGATATATAAAATGAATAAATTTTATGCCATTTCTCTAATTTGATTGCAAATTATGTAAAACAAAAACATGAAAATGTAATCTAATATGCGTTTATTTGTTTTTAGCCACCCTTCCCTCCCTTTCCACTGTCCCATTCCACGCATATAATTACAGATAAGCTGATGTAAAAGCACTTATAGCTAATAATGCTTGTATTTTAAGACAAATTACTTATGCAATCAATCATTGCCTCTGAGATATGGCTATCATATACAGTGAGTTCAATACGGTATGAGTTTATTTGATTTACAAATAAGAGATCTTTATATCCATTGTCTTAGAGTGGGATTACAGTTACGAAAGTGTTTACCCGAGAGAAGACCCACTCGTTTGATGCCTACGAATAGCCAAAACTCTTTAATTAAGATCTGATTCATGCGATACGAGTGTAATAAATATATTGTCTTTTTTACATTAAATGGAAATCCTTATGTGTAATCAATAATGCATTTGTCACCCGAAAAAATCCTTGTGCCCTATGTTTTTGAGACCATATATTTAACTGAAATTATATAATCACATAAATGTCCAGAATGTAAGGCATTCATTAATTCTCACTATTCTTTGTTTTTGTTATACATTTGTTATGATATTATGATTTATAAGACTAATATGGCATTGATTTCTGTGTTTTTCATTTTTAAAATACACTCCTTTTTATTAAATAAGGCTTTTTGTGTATTGAAGTCAAGTCTGGAAAAGGGATGTGGGCTTACATTAGATGGAAAGTGCCGTAAGATAATGTTATATTTAACTTTTAAGTAATATTTATTGACATTAAATGATAGCAATTAACGTGTTTAAAATATCTTACATATATTTCATTGTAGATATTATTATTGGATGATTAAAAGCATTGATAACTCTATTTAAAAACTAAAAATCCATTTAATCCAAGGATTTTTTTGAGTTACTTTTTTAATACCAACCCTTTTGGCTAATATTGGGAAACATTTGTCTGATAATTGTTATGATAAATGATTATACAGTACTAAAAATATAATACATTTCAACAGTACTTTTCCTGTATTTATAGATTTCATGAGTTAATTAATTTTTATTATTTTAATCTTTATTTACATAATCCTTACACAAAGCGCCGGTATTTGCATATAGTATTAGGTATGCGACCACTTCGACCGCTCCAACCATTAAATCTCTTTTTTAAGTTAATGTTTGCTTTTGAATGGAGTAAATAAATAAAATGTGTATTTAATGAAAACATTAATTAAAACGTTTGCTAACAAAAAAAGTAAAAAATCACGTAAATATTCATAAAACGCAAGCTTCAAGAATATTTAAATGAAAATAGTTTTTGCAAATTAAGGTATTTGTGAATGTGTTGCGAATTTTTCAATAATCGCTTCCGTATTACATCGAGTCTATCAAATGGGTGTAAACTTTTTGCAAAATATTCATTTTTTCGTAATTCAATGTTAGCCATCAAATCCAAGTGTAGTCTCACGAGAAAACATGTGAAAAAATAGTTGACTAGTCTTTGACTTCTGTTCAGAAAAAGTTGAGATTTTTCTGACAGAACTGTCTTTTAAATACAATTTTTAAAAATAATATGAGATTCTTATGGAATATATGTTATGAGAGTTTTCGTGAGTATGAAAAAGTACTATAATCTTGAATATTAATAACCTTTTGTTGTGAAATACTTGACTTACATTTTGTTATAATTTCAGTTTTACATTGCTCGTTAAGGGTACTACAGTACAAATAATGTGAACAAATTATAGCAATCAAAATGTTGACGACTATTGTAATACCAAAAATACATAACTAATAATAAACTATTGGTTGTATTTTGAGGGAAAATCATAACCTTATATCTCAAACTCAATGAAAGCAACACTTTTTTAGCACAAAATTCCTATTCTTTGAAAGAAAACAGTTTTAGAAAAACTAAATGATTATATTATTATAATTTTATTCCTATATAATGATAACAATTATATAAAACTGATTTCATTGATAACAAGTTTATTTTGAAAACATTCAAAATCTCTTTTCAATTGAAGTAGTATTTTGTATTTAAAAGTTTGGCATTAAATTTAAATAAAAGAAACGAGTTTTTAGTTTATTTTAAACATTGAATAACTTTTTGGTCGACAAAGTTCTGTATTTTTGAATCTTCATAATTGAGGACCGATTGCAGTACTTGTCGGGTATGTTCTCCCAAGAGTGGAGGGGCTGTGAACTCAGTGGTCAGCATATCATGGCATTCGTTGTCATAACTGACCGCATGTCCCAATGTCTTCATTTTAAGGCCATTGTGTCCCTCCAACTCAATCACACAGTTATTATGTATGACCTGTTGGTCGGCAAAGACATCGTCGATATCATTGATAGGTCCGTAAGAAAAGCCACAATTTTCAAACACTTTAAGCCAATGGGAAAGGGTTTGGGTTTGGATTTTGTCGCCAATGATTTGGATGAGTTCCTCCCGATTCTCCACTCGTTTAGCATTTGTCACAAATCTGGGGTCATTTGGCGCATCCGTTAGACCAATCAATTGACAAAGTTTTTTAAACGTCGGCTCATTTATGGCACCGACGGTCACGTACTTTGAGTCCTTGCACTTAAACCCCTGATAGGGAACTATACTCTCGTGGGCAGTGCCCCGGCGTTTGGCTTTGAGGCCGCAGTTTAGATAATTTGAGGCGACGGTAGTTAAGACACTGACCTGACTCGACAACAGGTTGGTATCTATTTTGCATCCCTTTCCATATCTTTCCCGATAGAAAAGCGCCGACAAAATGGCACCTTTGGTATAGAGGGCTGTTGTGAGGTCAGTGATGGCAACACCTGGTCTACAGGGCTCGCCATCCTCTGGACCGGTGATGGAAAGCAAACCACCGATTGAATTGGCAATAAAGTCAATGCCAGCCCTCTTAGCGTACGGACCACTGGACCCAAACCCAGTGATGGAGGCGTATATGATTTTGGGGTTTATTTGTTTGACACTGTCATAGTCAACACCCAGTTCTTTAAGTTTACCAGGGATATAATTCTCGACAAATATATCACATTTCTGGGCCAACTCTAGCAATAGCTCTCTGCCCTTAGGTTTCTTCAAATCGATGGCAACGCTCTATAAAAGAGATTTTTTTGGGTAAAAAAATTTTTAGAGCAAAATAATAATGAATTTTGTGAACAATATTTAGATTAAGTGTAAACTAGTTCTCAGTTTTTTCTGATAAGTTGTGTACGAAATGATGAAAAAAAGATTTCCATTTCAATAGATAATGGCATTCCTTAACCAATAATTTAATTCTCAAATTAATATGATTTTAATATTGCCTTTCGTTCACACAATTCATTTCCAACGCAATCTCTAGATTAAAACGTTATGCTTTTTATGAGACACTTTTGATGGTAAAAAAGTTAAATATTATGTTCAGTAATATCTATAATAATAATATATTTGAAAATATAAATGAATAAAACCCATAATTTAGCGAAATATGAAAATAAAACAGATTTGATTTCTCATTACGCGAAGCGGAAAGTAATCTCACTTTCTATGTCTGAAAAACTGTTTCCCAAAACTTAATTATAATAATTTTAAAACTAATTTCAATGGATAAGCAAATTATAATTTAATGCCTTTTTATTACGGTTTGTGGAAACGAAATACGCGGACATCTCGGGCCCCACAAAGGGTGGGCCCCACGCCCTCGTGTCGTCGCCAGTGCCCGGCCTCTCGATTTTGATGACCTCAGCCCCCAAATCGCCCAATAGTTGGGTACAGAAAGGTCCGGCCAGTATCCGGGTCAGGTCAAGCACTCTGATACCCGATAGGGCACCACAAGCCTGAGTGGACAGGCATCTGATCAATGTATGCGAACTAAACATATTGTTTTGGTCACAATTATAACATTAAATTAAAAATTTTAAATGAAAATTATTATTTAAAATTCCTTTTATATTGATTGATTAGAATACAGTAGTTATAATTAGTGTACTTTTATGTAAATAAGTTTATAAAAAATAAACTAATCACGATTAAACACAAACAGTGTTTGATTCGTGTTTGACATTTAAAAATATAATCAAAATGTTTTTATGTAAGCCATGAATGGACGCGTTTATTCAATAGCATGGAGTTATCGTTCAATGGGTGCCGGTGTGATGAGATGTACCAACTTTTTTATCTTAATTTATGACAACCATTGGTTACAATCTTTTGGAGGCAATAATTTTTTAGATGACATCTGTCTTTGACAGAAATCCTTCACATAAACTGCAAGTAATTCCCAATACTTTCCGCGTTTGTGATGTTATATAATATAATAAGTTATATTGAATTTATTAATATTTTTATTAAAGGATATTCGTTACATACAATTAATAGCATAGATTTGATTACATGATAGTTAAGGGAATAAATATTAGAAATTAATAATTATTTTATATAATAGTGATTAAAAATTTTAACCGAAAAAACCATTTATAAAAAATCCGATTAAATATAATAAATTATATTTTATAAATACTTTTTTTTATAAAAACAGAATATACATTTGATTTTTAGGACAAATGAAAGTAAAAAGTAAAAAATAATTTACGCTAAATATTTTGAGTCACTATTTAAACAATAGCGTCGAGAGAGAGAGAGAGAGAGAGAGAGAGAGCTTTTAGTTTAAATTCTATGTTTAAAAAAGTAATTTTGTTTAAAATAAAATAATAAAATGAATACAAAAACAAACGCAAAACACGTTTTCCAGAAAAATACTCAAATAAAGAGTGAAAATTAGCAAAAATAATAAAAATTAAAACTAATTTATCATTTCACTCATTTAAATAAAAAACAGCTGAGAATCTAATTAAAAATTTAATGACATTTTACTTATGATTTAGATTTTTCACAAAGCTGGTGAATACACTGTACGCCAATGGCCACCAAATTATTTAAATTACTAGTTAAATTCAATTTAAGTCAGGGCTAGAATTATAATTATATTTTTCTTACACTTACTGTCTGTTTAAATAATAGTAAGAATTAAAAAAAACTATTTTATCATTTATTCAAAAGAATTTCGTAAAATATTTTATTGCCTTTAAATTCAATTTGTAATATATATTCCGTTAGCAAAATACCACCCATTTTATGGGCTGAAAGTATTGTGTGATTTAAATGATTGTTCATATTTTTCAAAGGCAAACAAATCCCACAATTATATTTTTAACACAAATATTTTCATTAATGTTTTGGTCGAATGAATATTATATTTATAGGTAATAATTGAGTTGAATTTTGTTTATTTTCTTATCAGTCTATTAATAAAGATATTTATTAGGCTTTGAATCGGAATATAGTTTAAAGAGAAAAAAAAGTTTAATTAATAGTTTCACAAATTAATCAAATTCTTATTTATTACTTTTATTTATGTTTTGGCATTTTTATGGCAAAATATTTTTCGATTAACCCGTTTTGTAAATCTAATATCTCATCTAAAACTTTTGAGGCATCCTTTTGGGTGAGAAACTAAACAACATTTTCGATAGTATTTTATATTTAGTGAAAATACACTGTGAAAGCGTTTATTATATTCTTTGGGCAGTCCTTCCCAGAGTGTAGTCCCGCTGTTATCTAATGTCATATATTGTTATGAATACGAGTGAAGCAATTGTTAACCCAATAACATAAATAATTGTCTTTTGTATGTAAGGGCTGAGACCTACCGAACAATAGGATTATGTCTAACACTTGTTATCATTTGATTTAAAACTATTGATACAAAGCGCCGGCGAATCATAGGAAACACAATCAGTTAACTCTATTTTTGCAAATAATTTATTTCCACAAAAAAATAATATAATATACACAACAAAAATGTTACGGAATTTTGTTTTTCTTATTGTCTCGCATAGGGATTAACTCCCTGTGCCTTTAATGGGTGTTTAAAACGCGTTATATTTGATCCGATTTATAGATAACCAATCAATTTGTGTTTTCATTTCAAAATTAATGGTTTAATCAAATTTTTGGGAAACAGTTTTTCTAGACCTTAAAAGTTTGATTGACAATCGATTTTGAATGTCAGCTCATTTTGCAAACACATAACATATCATGCATTCAATTGACTGTCAATTAACAGACAATTATTATATATTATTATCTTAACATTGATTTTATTTTTAACCGAAACTAATAATAAATAACTTTAAGGATTGCCATACAACATAGGTGCGATTAATATTCATTTTCTAAACCATGTTTTTATTTATGTTTTGATTCACAAAATCATAAGGAATGAGGAAATTGTATATTTTTGTGCCCATAGTTTAAGCCTTATTTGCCCTTAACTTAACTTATCTTAACTTATATTTGGGAAATTTATTTATTGTTATCGGAATCGTATTAATCATAATAATGTGGTTATCGATGAGAAGATATAAGTTTTGAAAATAGAAATGTTGTTTAGATTGAAATCATTTTAGCATTTTCTGAACACACTTTAAGCATCAAGTTAAGTGAATAACTCAATAATTTACTTAAATATTCAGATAAACACTTTACATAATAATGAGTTCATTTTGCAATGAATTTTATAATAGGTTTAAATATTTAATAGGAATTTACTTTATGAAACAATTGTATAACAAAAGGTATGAAAAATAAAATAAATAAAAAAGATATAATAAACACTTAATATTGTATTTATTATATTTAGCAGGGAAATAAAACTAAAATTGCCACAAATGCTACACTACTGTATGGCATTATAATTATTAAGTTTCATATTTAGCTCATTTGCTAACAAACCAGCAATTATTAATTATAATTATAATATTATTTCACTTATAATTAGATTCTTTTATTATAAATATCTTAATGTTTTGTTTTATAAACTTCTATTATTTACTAAATATATACCTGTATAAATGTATTACACTGTATATAACATTAAAAATCAGGGGTAATTAAACTTTTAATGAAATTAATTTCGTTTGACTTCATAATAAACTCAATTCCGTTATATAAGTACCAAATCAGTTGTCACTGATATTGAACTTAATGTTCAAAATCAGAGGCAAATGTTAATCGATTTTTAGACACACATCCAAATCGGGTTCACATCTTATTGGATGTGTTTATAGAAAAAGTTAATTAACTGTTTGAAGACTAAGACATCAATTGTAGAAAAGTTTTAATGTTTTAGAAACTCATTCAAAAAGAGGCACTCAATTGACGGGTTGACCCGATTTTAGCGCTAATGTTGAGGACGATCTCAAAAAATCGGTTATAAATATATAACAAAATACTATAGTTTTCATTAATTTCACAGAACAAACATGTGTTAAGATTATTATTAGTCGTTTTGATTGTCACAAATGAGATAATATGCGAGTCTATTAAGTGGGAAAATAAAATTGTATACAAAGCCTACACTTATAGTCATTTCTGTGATTATTTACTGTAAAACTGAACCAACAAAAAAGTCAATGAGTTTTGTGTATTAGTTTTTATTTCTATTTTTCTGTCAGTATTTTTCACTATAATTTTGTTCCCTATTTTGTATTTTCTTTTGATTTTATTATATTTCTCAATCCAGTGCTCAACTACTTGTGTATATTTGAAAAGCCGTTGAGGTTTTCTCTCTCACATGTAGTTAATGTCAAACAAAGTATATAATCAAAAGAATGTCAAAATTCTTATACAAATCAAAAACCGTCCGTTTTTTGCCGACTCTATTGTGTTTAGACTTGTATTTGATTGAAGAATAAGAGAACAAATAATCCATTGATAAGTCGGATAAAGATTTTTGTTTTTGGGTTTCAAAACCGCAACCAGTGGTCACAAACAATACAATACTTTACATTTCAATACATAGACACTAATACAACTCAATCGCAAACTTACGCTGTTTTTCACGCAAATTATTGTCTAAACATTTTCTCACTTTTTGCGTGAATTTTTAAAACCAATTCTACATAAATAAAATAAAATAAAAACATTATGCACAAAAAATATTCAGGTTAAAATCACAACAAAATTAATTATCAATTGAAAAATTACGAATTCATTTCGGTTTCAATCCTAAAGAATAACACTTTTGGATAATTGAATCCGTTTTTCCATAAAATTACCAAAAACTTAATTAAACATAATTATGAAAATTAGTGAAAACAACAAAAATGTTATGAACTTTTCATCTCGTGTTTAATGAAAATCTAAGTCAAAATATGTATGACAGATGTGACAGAGCACTGACAGCCCGGGTATACAATCATATGTGACCATCAATTTCAATACCTGTAGATGAGATGACCCTCTATTCATGTCAAACACAATCCACTCAAACATAAGTGCCTTTTATCTGAATTACGTGTCAGATATAGTTTAACCACAAAACCAAAACTCACATCAATTAACATGAATTTTAGTCCAAATAACTATAACTATCAAGACTTTAAGGACTTTATGCAATTATTCAGCAACACAATTGCTGTTTAACTTTATAATTATTTAACAATTTAAGTGTTTTCTTGAATATAAACTTTGTGTCAGACATAGAGATGAATAGAAAATAAGATATATTTTAAATTTGAGGAAAATTTATGACTATTGACTCTCATTGTACATCATCTGAGTCTGTATTTTATGTTTAATTACAGATTTCACAAACTATACAATACTAGAAAGTTTAAACATGAAAAATATTTTAAAATGATTACAAGTAGCATAATACATAATGTAGACAATTATATTGTATTTAAACAAAAGTCGACAACAAATTGAGATCTACTTGAATGGTGTCGATGACAGTGTCTGTTATCATGTGCCGTACAGTATGCCTATGAATAGTCTTAAAGCAATGTTTTCCCTATCATTGAGAATAGAAATCAATTGAAAATCCACTTTTAAAACAGAAAACATAAAAATAAGATAACATTTAGTTTTGAGTTTTATTTCTTATTCTGTGTGTATTGTAAACACACAAACAGTTTTAATTGAATTATTGTGTGTTATATTGAAAAGTACAGCAAAACAACAAATAAAAAGATAAGAAAACACACGAAACCCTTGATTTCAAAACATATTCATTCGTTTCATATATAAATAATTGGATAATTTCTTAAACATTAAAAAGTGTTTCTTAAGAAATTAATAAACATTGAAAAAAATCAACTAATATTTATTACCGAATTTATTACTTATGTTTATAAAGAATTCACATTTAATTGTATATTAAAAGTAAACTTATATTTAATTAAATATAAAATAATTTACACGTAAATCGTATACAAAAATGTTAAATTGTATAAAAAATTAATTATTTCGAAATAATGCGCTATAATAGCCTTAAATATTCATATATTAATCACTGAAACTGCAATTTAGAGTCGGTTTTGAATGCATTAAATCATCCAGTTTTGCATTTGAGGTCATTATATCCCAACCACTGGTTTTTCATTCAAAATTATCATATATTTCTCTCTCCACATAACATTCACAGCCAAATATCTAGTTATATAACTTTTTCCCACTTTGATTCACATATGATATCATTAAATAGTAATCTCATATCATATGAATCCATAAAAGTGTGGTTGAAATACATTTTTTGACTCCAAAATGGGTGTAAAAGAGTGTATATTTTAAATAGACTTTTTGATTGAGAAAAAAGGTTTTCGAAACTAATTTATTGTTTACTTGTTTTGTATGATATAATACGCTATTGTTTCGGTGTTTTAATATTATTTGTGATAAACATAAAGGATATTATACTGTGTTTTACTCGAAAAACTTCTTAACAGTTATATAAAGGAAAGAGGGGTTGGGTTACGGAGTGTTGATATGTCTGTGCCGTCGACAGAGACCTAACAAACCAGTTGTGCAACTATTGCTATAAAAGCATTTGCAGTGAATGTTTGGCTGACTTTTCTCTGGCAAACCATTTGATGGGATATCTGTGAACTCCAGCAAAGAATTGCGAACTAAAAGAGTCCAACATTTCATTCAACAAAGAGTTCATAACTTCTCGACTGAAGTGTTCAAAACGTGTAGAGAAACAAAATGTAATCAAATGTAATCATCAAACAAATCATTTTCATTAACAAAATCTCACTTTTCGGTTGTAATTGTTTTGTGCCATCGATTGGTGTTTGAATGCAAAAGTGATTTTGAAAAGTTTGCGAAAACTTTGTAATGGATAACAAACTTCAGGGCTCGCCGTACGAGTCGTCACCGGACATGGATTACTACGACTATCAGGTGAACTACATCCGCAACAGTCGTGCCATCGGTGTCTTGTGGGCCGTCTTCACGATGTGCTTCTCCATCATTAATGTCGTGGTCTTCGTTCAGCCGCAATGGTTGGGCGACACCGAGACCTCCCCGGGAACCGGCTATTTCGGACTCTGGAGGTCGTGTCGACTGCTCCAAGACGGACAGGACCTCATCTGCGAGGGAAGGCTCGATGACTTCAGCACAATCCCGACCCCAGCCTTCCGGGCGGCCACAGTGTTTGTGGGCCTGTCGGTGGTCACCATAATGTTGTGTTTGCTATCAATGCTCCTCTTCTTCTTCCTCCACTCGTCCACAGTCTTCCACATCTGCGGGTGGATGCAGGCGACCACCGGTCAGTCACTCTTGCTTACCATACCTACCATTCCTATCCTCACACGTTTCTCTACATCCCTTTCCCATTCATACGATTCTCACTTTCTCATTAGGAAAATGTATATAAAAATAAAAATACACTTTCCTTTTGTTTCAAATAATATTATCTGTGTTTGTCTTTTAGTTATACTCTTGAGTCCAACTTTATATAAAAAACTCATTTTCTTGTTTCAAATATTTTTTTATTCATTTCCATTCTTTTGGTGCAATTCTTCTCAACTCTTGTGTTGAGATAATAGAGAAGAATAGAGAAGAATATCGTGTTTTAGGCTCTAATCGCTTGAATCTTATAAATAAGTTGTGTTTTTATTCGTCTATTTCGAGTCCAGAAACCATTTCTCGTGTTTTGTATTTATATTTTACAACATTTTGGCCTCTTTTCCACATAAAAGACCACACATTTTCTCTACTCGCAAATTAAACTTAAATAACAAAGTGATGATCCCTTTCCAAAAGGGATGACCAAACATAACCGAACAGATACCGTATATAACTAACCAAAACTAATCGCATAATTTAAGCAAAACGTATAGCCTTTGGGTTTAACTTTTTATATTTCCAATGACCTGTTGTTAAATCATATCACACGTTAAGCTCACGAAATATATTCTCCAAAAATCACATAAAATCCTTGTATTTACAGTATTTTGTAGTGATTAGGGGCACAATAGTTGCCTTAAAAAGTGTTTTTTATTTTATTTTATTACAATTGAATTCAAAAATTGAGAGCTCTTTCAATATAAGGAGAGAAATAAATTACCAAATCTTATAATACAATTCATGCGAAACACATCTCCTTAAAGAAATTTATTTTTATTTTAAGATAAAAAAAACTTATATAAAGAGTAGTCTTACAATTGATTTCATGCAAACAAATTGTATACCATTTCCACTTTCTATTCAAACTAATTAATTGTAAACCTTTTTTTCTCATATCGTTTTTGAGCTCTTATTTTGTGCGCGAAAAACACTTTCAACTTATTTATAGTTATGTACGGAAAAAATCTTTCAATTGTTTTCGCTTTCTTTATGAAGCGATATATTGATGTGAATAATGATTTGCATTGTGTTTGAAATTAAATTACCAAACAAACGACAACCAAAACCAAAAGTACTGTATAAACAAAACACTTATACTTTTTTCTTATTCAACACCAAAAATGTGGTTTATTTTTACGGTTTAATATTGGGTGCGTTAACCCATTGGAAAGGGAAAGACAACTAAAATAAGACAATAATTTGATATTATATTTAAATAAAAATTATCAGCTAATAGTAGATTGTATTTATGTATAAAGTTTATACGGAATTAAGAGTTTATTCATTTTTCTTTACAAATATATATATAACTGTTTAATGTTTTTAAATGTTTTAATGGATTTAGTTTCAACGTTCAGTTTGTATAATACTTTTCTTAATGTTTAGTCTTATATTACCGTATAATTCAATCTTTTGGTCTCGTTTTTTGTGTTAATTATATCCATTTTGCTTAACGAAAAATCGTGAATCATTTCAATCAGACATTCAATTTCTGGTTTTTAAAAATAATTTGTTTCACTCTTTCTCTGTATATCAATACATAGAAATGAAGGAAATCTTTTTATAAACACACATTTTTTGCCAAAAATTAAATAATAATAATAATTTCCTTTACTTATCTTAACTGCGATGACTTCATTGGATATTAAAAATAATAAATATGTTTAATATAATAAAAGATATAAAAAATTCTTGTCAAATGCATATTATGTGCATTTGATACTTAAATGATTACATAAATGATTTATAATTTTGTCTTAACTAATGATCAAAGTTTTACTTTCTGTTAATGATATGCATATATATGCATTAAGATTAGACTCATAAATAGTGTTAAATTATAATATAGTTAACATTCTGACAAATAAGTGTTTTATTTCCTTAATAATAGATATGTTATTGACTTTTAACTCATGTATTGTTTATAATTCCCGTTTTAAACAACTCTTAAGAATCGATATATTTGAAGTTAATAGCAAATTATGGAAAATTTTGTTAAAATGTGTGACAAAATCACTAAATAAATGCTCTATTTTTCAAGAAAATCAATTGTATTCATAGCCCTTAACAATCATTAATCGACTGAAACTAAACGATTTGATGTCAAAAATATAAGATTTCTTTTGTGACATACAATTGAAGACGAGTTGAGAGTCAGTGCATAACTAATACAATGTAATGTATTATTAACTATACACTGAAGTTATACTTTAAGCACAAAAACATGAGAATATCTCATAATATTCTTCACAATACATACGATTAAAAATTAGCATAAAGTGTGCAAATCATGAAAGCGTGAAAACAAAACAATAATAGATTTTTAGGTAATATTATAAACTACTGTTTCCTTCAGTGCACTTGAATACCGACTAATCGATTGTTTTTCAAGTGTTATTTAATTAATACATTTGATGCCAAAAATATATTCCCAAATGTTTCTCTGATTGCCCCCAATGTTAATGAGTTCCCATATTAACTCTCTGTTGTCTCTCAATATTATTGTCACGGAATAGGCCTACAGTTAGGTCTCATTAATGAGATTTATTTTGCTATAAAACTCATCCATTACTATTAGTAAAACCCATAGCCTTTTCAAAAACATCAAATCTAATGACATTTCTATTAACACTAATATTTAATTATCGAATCCATTGTTTGAAATCTATTATTCATTAATATTATTCCCGTCTCATAGCCATAGCATACAAACGGTGTGTATTTTAATTGCATAACCATTTCTATGTATACAATCGCTTTAAAACTATTTGCAAATACAGTTTACTTACCATTTGCAACATATGATGATTGAGACCAAACACTTCCTGTATTCATGTATTTTAGTGTTTAAGTCTTTTATTTGACTTTTCAAACAAACCCTACATTTGAATGATTTATATATTTTGATGCTTTTCTTACGGTATGAAAGAGAGGGCGAAACGGTTTAAAACGTGTGATATATTCCTCGTTGTTATCCATTATATTGTGTTTTCATTTAAATGTTAATCATTTAATGCATTAACTGACGAGTCATTTAAGAGGTTAAAAATTCCGCAATAAAAAAACAGCAAAACATTAATTGTTTTTATTTATTTAATGGGAAAGTATGTGAAAACTGCCCATAAATTAAAGTTTTATTGTAATAAACAGAATAACTATAAAATAAGTGAAATATTTTTTTGAATTCATCTCTTGTATAGTAAATAGTAAATTCCGATCTCTGCTTAAAACTGGTTCTCCCCTAACATTATAGTGCAAACTCACCGCTGATTTAGTCAATAATTTATACGAGACTATTATTTTGATAGAAATTTTGATTGTGAAACGAAAGTGAATGGAAATCATAGTATAAAGGAATTTGAAATGAATTTGACAATAGGCTATGATTTTCAATATAATAGCCGATTGTATGGATCGCTATTAAAATATGGATTCAAATCAAACAATTAGTGATTTATATTATACTCGCATTGTATTGAATACGTACGGTACACCTTTCTATTCAACCAAAATGTAATAGTTTAAAAAGTTATTTACATTTTCAATCATTCAAATGACTTATTCGTGATTTTTTGTGTGTTTTCTTACAATCGGTTCACAATATAGTGATTACAATTCATACAATATTTTTGTTATCAATCTTATGAATCGACTTATATTTTTCTATAACATTTGATTTACATAAATACCATACAATTTGGGAGAACTTTATTTGAAATTAAAGTAATGGACTCTTGAAAAATATAAACTAAAACTTTTATGTCAAGGCCTTCGCTATAAATTACTGCATAATATTGACTGAATTAATAGCCAAGCTCATTATAATTCTAATCCACTATTTTATTGTTTATTATTATTAACATATTTGGCTGTGGATTTTAAAATTAAAATCATATTAATTAACACAAAATAAGAAAAATAAGTTGTTGTATATCTTGAATAACATATCAATTCAACAACAAAATGATTAATTATTTATTGGGAAATACTTTACATTTTTCAATTATTACAGGCAACTAAAAACTTGTGTGGCTTTTAAAGCTTATATAATTGATGTGGTATTACCATGGCTTATCCATGTCATAAGATATATTATTTGGTTATTAATTTAAACAGTTATCTAAAAATACAGCATTTATTAATTTAAATATTCCTTAAACTTTCTGTTGAATTATATTTTATAGTTTAATAGCATTTGTATGGATAGGAAAGGGTGAGAGAAAAGGCGTTATAGACTCTCTTATCATTTTGACACAGTTTTTGGCATTTCTTTTACAATTAGTTCACATTAGAGGTAGAAATTAAATAAATTATGCATTTTCTCCCCAAAAGACAATCTCCGCCAACACTACTAACAAATGCATTACTTTTTCATACAATAGTTTAGATTTCAATAGTTTTGGCTTAAAATCCTAGTTATTTATTATACGATATAATTATACCGTAAGCTCTAAAACAACAATAAAATCATTAAATAATTTGTTATCTCAGATAACCTGACAGTGACTTCAATACAGTATGAAATTGTGTTTTTCGTGGCGCTTCGGCCTTATATTAAATACAAACGTATACTTTAGTGCTCTTGAATTTGGTTTTAATTTTAATAATTCAATAAATTTTTGCCTCAAAAATAAAAGGTAAAGCATAAGAAAAAATATTTCATTTTTATAATTAATGAAACGAAAAACTAAGAAAGAATTCACGAATCAATTGAAGGAAAAACTCTTAGATAACAGAGTTTTTAGTTTTAGGCACTTCTCCAACAAATTTATGTTCAATTCTTATGGTTTAATGTATTTTTATATTAAAATAATTACTATTCAAGGGATATATTTTATACAATTAATCATACATTTAGCAATTTGATTGTTTTACAAGTTAACAAATATTTTATTGCAATTCACATAAATAGTTAGTAAAAAATAAAATAACTTTTTGTGGACAACTCGACCTTAAATTACATTTAAATATCTCTAAAATAAATGTAAAGTACAAAATTATCTAAATTAATAGACTATCCACTTGTTTTTCAAATAAAACTAATGATAGTACTAATCTGATAAATTATCACTGATAACATTATAGTTTAAAATTAAATCAAATGTTGCGTTTATTTTTTAATTAAATTATAATTTTTATATTAAAACTAATCTTTATTGCTTATAAACTGAAATGTATAATCGTGTGAATGGCATTTAGATGACCGATACTTTAGTATTTAAATTTATGGTCGTTCACACAAGTTCACAAACTTTGATTGCAAATTGTGTAAGTTTCAAGTCACCAAGACTTAAATGAACTAAATAGATTTTCTAATGTTTGTATTACTAATATTCATAATTTGAATCTATTTCATTTATGATATACAAATTATGCATTACATAACTCGTAAATCTTTATTAACAAACTTGAAAATAAGTGAAACATATATTTTTGGACAAAACCTGAGCCAATGTTAGCTGAGGGCTAGTATTCTGATTAAAACTAATTAAAAAGCTTTTTATTAATTACTAGTTATTTATCTTTTATTTATTGTATTTTTTGTTTAGTATCTTATTTTTCACGATATTATTAAACTTAATATCTGTTTCTCAACAAATATATCGCTTCAAAAATCTTTATGTCATGAGAAGTGAATTAAATGTCATTTAATTAAATTATTTTTTAAATTAAATTTTATGCCCGACAGCCTTATGTATGTTAGTGGGAGTACTCATATTCCCGTCCGGTTGGGACTCCCAAGCCGTTAAGGAGGTGTGCGGTAACGACGCCGACAACTACCTGAGCGGTCAGTGCGGCATCAGATGGGCATTCATTTTGGCGATCATCGGTGTCATCGATTGCATGGTTTTATCCATTTTGGCCTTTGTTTTGGGCACTCGTTATGTCAAGTTATTGCCCGATCAGTACCTGTCCAACGGCTCCACATATAAAGGTCGGTATAATTACTAGTAAGCAAATAAAAAATAGTATAATCGCGTATAACTTTAAATTTTAAGCTTAAACTTACGATAGTAAATAACATTAATTGTTAGTGTAATCCTATTTTATGTAATCTTATGAATTCATTTGATTTATAGTGACTTAAATAAAAGTTTTATTTAAATGCCTTATATTTAGTAAGATTACATGGCTTTCCATTATGTTTAGGAAAACCAATTTTATTATGATTTTACAAATAAAAACTTTAATTCAAATTACAGGTGAAGTGAACTCGGCGTTTATGGCCGACAGCGGGAGTCGTAAATCATTGCATTTACAGCCGGTTGTGATGATGTCGGGCGCCGTCACCGATGCCGAGCGCTTCTCCGAGTATTCCCACCGAACGGGTCGTTCCCACAAATCCAATGGTTACCACCCGTCCTCTTTCAACAACTTTCAACTGTAGGCCCAAACCGTAATCAACAATTCTGTAGCTATTATTCTGGACTCATATTCTGTGCGAAAAGTACGGAATAATTCATTGTATAAGGAATTAGACACGTATTTGTCATTAATTGCTGTGTTTTTGCTATTGACTAAAGTTTTACTCTATTTTTATACTCATTCTTCTCATGAATTTTGATGTTTTGTTTGATTTACAACTTTAGGAGTTTTTATTCAATTTCAGTTTAAAGGTAAATGCCATTTGAAATGCGATTCTTTAGACAGATACTTAGTTTCATTGCTCACAATCAAGACTTAATATTATTTATATAATTATGTAAAAACTTTTTTGTGAAATAATTATTATATTGTAATACAGCGGACATGAAAACCATTTATTAATATTGTATTAATTGTTTGTATCCATTCAAGATATAATTTAAAAGTTTGTTATTATTTGCGCTTAATATATAAGTTTATATATAATGATATTTTATAAAATATAATTTAAACTTTTATAAAAATTAATATATTTTTAGTTAATGTATAAATAAATGAATAAGAAATAATAAAAAGATTTTAAACAATAAAACACAATTTGGTAACATTTTTAAAATTTATTAATATTTTACGGTCTAATGGTTTGGAAAACTTATGAATCAAAAGGTATTAAACACTCGTTGAGAGGATTTCTATAAAATACTAAATTCATTACTCAATTGAAGCCAAATCTCAATTTTGGTCTCTTTTCTGCGATTCAAGTGAAGCGAGTGCGCGGAAAATGATATGATTTGAAAAATATTAATTAAACCATTTAATACCAGAAATGGTTTTAAACTGACATTTGCTTGAAAAAAACATTCAATAAATATTTACTGAATTATGATAATCTGAACATTACTTTGAAAATCTTATTTATCATAAACTATAACTAGAGGAACGGCTGCCAAAAGTCTTCCCTGAAGTGAAGTTTAGATTATTATCAGAGATATTTAAATCAAAAAGATAGTCCTCTAATGAATAGATAACAAAATAATTACTGCAAAAAATCAACAGAAAACTTTTTACTTATTTTTGAAGAAGAAAAATAGCTTTTGTCTCGTTTTACAAAATAATTGTTTTTCGTTATAAACAAAACTAGTTATAACTTATAAGACATCTGTTGTGATCGTATTTTCAGTGCTTTGCTATCGACACGAATTCGTATGAAATGTCAGTCAATATAAGAAATAGTTTTTTCTTGTGGTTAAGTCTTAACTGATATCCAGTTCTTGCACTCAATTCATATTAAAATAAACTTTTTTCTTGAAATTCTTTTGACAAACTTAAGGCAAATATAACTGAAATATTATATGAAAAGAGTGGAAATGAGTTGATTTCCTTAATAGTAATATAAGTTACAAATGTTTATCAATTTGTTTGGAAGACAAAAAAGTATTTTATTGAAACAAATCTCTATTTTTCATAATTTATTGGCCGAAAGAAAAATTTGTTTTGATTTTAATTTATTGATAAATTAAAAGTGAAATTTTCCTCAATAGGCATATGTGGCAGCGATTGAACTGAATTTCAAACACAAATTCAATAGATTTAAGTCCAGATTAATGGGGAATATGTTGTTTGGTTTGATTGGATTTTTTAGGCCATTATTGTATTAAATCATTTCTGTGTGAGTTTCTGTTGGGTTTGTGTGTGTCTAATGTTTTTACGATAAAGTGTTAGCAAACAACACTTTTTAATCGCTTATTAATTGATTCATTGGGAGACAGTTATCACCCGAATAATTATATTTTAACCTAAATATGAAGGGCTAGTATTTTATAATTTTTATATAAACCATAATAGATTCGCGAGAATTATATACATTTGCATTTGAGTTCATGTTTTTCACATTAAGGTCCGTAACATTAGAGCCTAATATATACAGAGCTAACAACTAATCATATGCTTCAATAAAATAATGCATTTTATTGATCATTTGTTTCCAATCTAACGGCCAAACAACGAGTCAAATACCGTATATATCTATACTTATCCATACATATGATGCGAGAGATCTCCAAGAGTTTGCAATTCTCGACGACTTGTGCCAAATGTACGGTTGAAGAGCCCACAGCTCCCGGTATTCAATCGATTTGAGGCATTGGACGCACAGATGTTGTGAGCGTTATATTAGATGTT